CCCATCTCCCAGCATTTCTGTAGATATTGCTACTACCTGGCTAGTTGCTGCCATTTCTGGAATGGTGTTGCAAGTGGGGCTCCACGCTAAGTACTTTTCAGACAATATTTCATTTAACTGAAAATCACACGTCCAGTGTCCGGCAGGCAGACAGGAATGTTAGCTTCCCTAGAATGTGCATTTCAGGCCAAGGGCGGTGGCTCATGCCTGTAATCCCAGCACTTTGGGAGGCCGAGGCAGGAGGATCACTTGGGCCCAGGAGTTTGAGACCAGCCTGGGCAGCTTAGCTAGACCTTGCTAAGGCATTGCAGGGTGCAACTGTAGTCTCAACTACTTGGGAGGCTGAGGTGGAAGGACTGATTGAGGTGGGAGGTAGAGGTTGCAGTGAGCCAAGACTGCGGATAAAAAGAACGTATATTTCATATTAGTAGAAAGCTTTGGACTGTCACAGGACCTAAAAGAGTGCTTGGCACATAATAAATGCTCAAAAAAATTGTTGAATGAATGAATGACTCTAATTTAGCCAATATCCATGACAAAGGGATCTGTTACATACTGGGTATGTGACTTTGAGCAAGTCTCTTCAAGCCTCTGAACCTCAGTTTTCTCCTACGTTTAATGGGTATGACACAGGCAACATCTACTGAGTTAAGTCTGTGCTGGGCCCGATTCGAAGTGGTTTATATGGAATATCTCCTTTAAACCTTACAACAGCATTTGAGGCACTATTAATAGTCCATATTAACATTGAACTAACTGAGGCACAGGGAGATTAAGTAACCTGGCTAAGGTCACAAGTCAGAGGTGGAATTAAGAGATAAATGCCCCAAGCCTCTGATGCCGCAATGTACCCACTTAACATCACTCTACACTGCTTTTCTAAGATAACCCACCCTTGGTCACTGACAGTAGAAGGAATAAATATACGGTGGTACATTTATGCAATAGAATACTATATAGCAATTAGGCTGGGCGTTGTGGCTCATGCCTGTAATCCCAGCACTTTGGAAGGCTGAGGCAGGTGGATTACTTGCGCTCAGGAGTTTGAGACCAGCTTGAGCAATATAGCAAGACCCCATCTCTAAAAAAAAAAAAAAAAAAAAAAAAAAAAAAAAAAAAAAAAAAAAAAAAAAAAAAAAAAAAAAGAAGAAGAAGAAGAAGAATACTATGCAGTGATTAAGAAGAACACATTGAGGCCAGGCGAGGTGGCTCACTCCTGTAATCCCAGCACTTTGGGAGGCTGAGGCAGGCAGATCACTTGAGTGCAGGAGTTCAAGACCAGCCTGAGCAACATAGTAAGACCCCGTTTCTACAAAAAAACACCGAAAAATTTAGCAGTAGGAGGATTGCTTGAGTCCCAGAGGTGGAGGCTGCAGTGGACCAAGATTGCAACACTGTACTGCAGCCTGGGTGACACAGCGAGATCCTGTCTCAAAAAAAAAAAAAAAAAAAAAAAAAAACTTGTCTCAAAAAAAAAAAAAAAAAAAAAAAAAAATTCTGAAAAGGGCTCATGTTGAGGGTATTAGGATGAATCTAGACTCTGGATAGTCTTAAATGCCAAGTGAAGTAACTGGACCGTTATATTACAGTCAGTGAGGTTACGGGAGAGGAAGAAGGAGTGGAACTGGGTGTGAGGTGGTAAGAGTTCTGCCCAATGTCTTGTCAGCAGAAATGATTAGGGAGGTATGGACTGAGAAGCATTTTAGAGGAGAAAATTAAAGTTATAAAAGGTAATGGTTTAAAAATAGGGAATAATAAAGAGGAGACAATATATTGAGTTTGAAAAATGGCTAGGCATGGTGGCTCAAGCCTGTAATCCCAGAACTTTGGGAAGTCAAAGCAGGAGGACAGTTTAAGCCCAGTAGTTTGAGACCAGCCTAGGCAACATGGAGAGACCCTGTCNAAAAAAAAAAAAAAAAAAAAGACATTACTGATAACTGCAACATGGGTGAATCTCACAATTATGCTGAAAGAAATTCAGGCACACATGACTACTAGAGTTGCTAAATAAAATACAGGATATTCCGTTAAATTTGAATTTGAGATTAAATAATGAATAACTATTTTAGTATAAGTCCCAGGAGCAATTCAAATATAAATGACATCTGGGCTGGGTGCAATGGCTTATGCCTGCAATCCCAGCACTTTGGGAGGCCAAGGAGGGCAGAACGGGAGGTCAGGAGTTTGAAATCAGCCTGGCCAACATGGCGAAATCCTGTCTCTCCTAAAGATACAAAAAAATTAGCCAGACACGGTGGCGCACACCTGTAATCCCAGCTAGTTGGAAGACTGAGGCAGGAGAATTGCTTGAACCTGGGAGGTGGAGGTTGCAGTGAGCTGAGATGGTGCCACTGCTCTCCAGCCTGGGGGACAGGGCAAGACTCTGCCTGGAAAAAAAAAAAAAAAAAAAAAGACATTCGGGATTTTTATGTGCCGAACCTGGCAACTCTAAAGTTTGCATACGTATGATTCCATTTACGTGAAGTTCAGAAATAAGCAAAATGAATAAATGGTAATAGAATCAGGAGCGCTTCTTCTCCGATAAAACACCAAATGACGGATGATGTCGGTGCAGCGGGGGCGGCGGGCGGGGGCGGAGGCCCCAGGGGCCCTGGGATGCGGAACCGCGGTGGCTTCCGCGGAGGTTTCAGCAGTGGCATCCCCGGGCCGGGGTCGCCGCGTGGACAGGGCCCCCGCCGAGGCCGCGGAGCTCACAAAGGCAAAGCCGAGGATAAGGAGCGGATGCCTGTCACCAAGTTGGGCCGCCTGGTCAAAGACATGAAGATTAAATCTCTGGAGGAGATCTATCTCTTCTCTCTGCCCATCAAGGAATCTGAGATCATTGACTTTTTCCTGGGGGTCCCTCTCAAGGATGAGGTTTTGAAGATTATGCCGGTGCAGAAGCAGGCCCGTGCTGGCCAGTGCACCAGGTTCAAGGCGTTTGTTGCTATTGAGGACTACAATGGTCACGTCGGTCTGGGTGTTAAGTGTTCCAAGAAGGTGGCCACTGCCATCCGTGGGGCCATAACCCTGGCCAAGCTCTCTCCATTGTCCCCGTGCGCAGAGGCTACTGGGGGAACAAGATTGGCAAGCCCCACACCGTCCTTGCAAGGTGACCAGCTGCTGTGGCTCTGTGCTGGGGCCTCATCCCCGTGCCCAGGGACCCTGGCATGGTCTCAGCACCTGTGCCCAAGAAGCTGCTCATGATAGCTGGTATCGATGGCTGCTACACCTCAGCCAGGGCTGCACTGCCACCTTGGGCAACTTCGCCAAGGCCACCTTTGATGCCATCTCTAAGACTTACAGCTACCTGACCCCCGATCTCTGGAAGGAGACTGTATTCACCAAGTCTCCCTATCAGGAATTCACTGACTACCTCGTCAAGACCCACACCAGAGTCTCCGTGCAGGAGACCGAAGCTCCAGCTGTGGCTACAACACAGGGTTTTTATACAAGAAAAATAAAGTGAATTAACATTGCAAAAAATATATATGTATAGAATCAGGAGCATGGTTGCCTTGGGTGGGAGTAGGAATGAGTAGAAAGTATATCAGAAAAGCTTTATATCTGGATGGAGGCTACCTGTGTGTATACACATGCAACAATTCACCAAGCTGTACACTTACTGTTTTTACTTTTTACAACACTTGTGAATTACAACTCCATAAAAAATGTTTTTAGGACAGTTGCAGCGGCTCACGTCCGTAATCCCAGTACTTTGGGAGGTCAAAGCAGGAGGATCACTTGAACTTAGGAGCCTGGGAACATGGCGAGTCTCTACAAAAAAATTAGCCATGTATGGTTGTGCACACCTGTAGTCCCAGCTTCTAGGAAGGCTGAGGCAGGAAGATCGCTTGAGCTCAGGAGATCTAGGCTACAGTGAGCTGCGATTGTGCCACTGCACTCCAGCCTGGGCAAGAGAATGAGACCCTGTCTCAAACAGAATTATATGCATATGTATAACACACAAATTTTTTAAATCCCACAGAGCGATACATCCTATTACAAAATCTTTGATAATAGTATCTAACTGATGGGATGTTTGCAAGGTTAAAATGTGATAAAGTTTATGACTCTCTTACTACATTTTAGTCTCTCATTGTAAGAACTCAATGTTGAATGTAAACAGCATTGTTAAATGTAAAGCAGCATTCATACATCATCGTTAGCACTTTTTGTATTTCTGTATTGCCGATAGATTGGAGCGCCCTCAAGTGTTTAATTTATTTTAGCACCTCAGTTATTACAAAGAAGCACCCTAAACCCGAGTTTGCAGTCTCAATGCCAAAGGATAATGCTTTTCTTTTCTTTCACTCTAGGGCCACATAAAAAAGGACCAACACATGACCTCCTGGGAGCGAAGAGCCACCAGGTTCCCTAAGGAGAGGTGAACTGGCGCAGGTTGGAAACAGAGCAAGTCCAAACTGCCGCGCTGATCAGTGGTGGGATCACGCCTGTGAATAACCACTGCACTCCAAACATCGAGACTCTGTCTTTAAAAAAAAATAAAAAAGAAAAAAAAGAAAATGAAATAAAAAAAGAAAAAGTGCCAAAATTCACATCGGATCAATAGGTCCCAAGGCCAAGTCAAGCTGTGCACATGATCACTCCCTGAGATGTGTCAGAGGAAAGCAGAAGGGAACATGCCGGTCTACCTCCCTTCGATTCAAGCACATTGCAAATATCATCTAGTTTCTCAGGAACTCACATAATATTTGAATGTGGCATCACACGGGCTACAAAAATGATTTCATATTAATAATAGTCACAGGTAGCTTTCAGTGACCACTTCCTGCGTCCCAGGTACCCTACTAAGAAGTAGATGTCCATTGTTAGCTTTGATTTTTAAAATGACCTGTGAGGCAGATATCTTTTGTAGCCTGCTTTTTTTCCTTCAGCAATACGCTTTGGGCATCTTTCCATGTCGATAAATAGAGCTGGGTCGGAAGTACCCGATTCAAAGGCTGAGAAACTTAAACAGTCAGCAGGCACTGCCCAGGTGAAGATCAATAATAGTTAACATTTATTGAGTGCTTTATTACACACCAGGCCCTCCACTAATTGTTTTAGGTGAACTCTCTTGCATTTGATCCTTGAGGCAATCCCAAGGTAGCTTCTATTATTATTCAGATGAGGAATCTGAAGCCCAGAGAAGCAAAGGAACACAGTCAAGGTCAGACAGCTGGTGTTTAATGGAAGAGCTGGGATTCAAACCCAGGTCCCTCTAATTCTGGCGCTGGGCTCTCAGCCAGCACATTTGGAGGACAACATGGAGGAGGATGTCAGTGGGGAAAGGATCCACTGACAAAGCCTGAAGACGGGGAGTAGGGTGGTGAGAGCCCAGGCAACCGTCCTCCATGGAAGTGACAGTAAGGCTTCCCTGAGGTGACACCATTTGGATTAATTCTACGTCTCCAGCCAATAAAGGAGGTCTTTTTATAACTTACCAGTTCCTAGGCATATGTCCAGTGAGATATACATGGGTTCAAATCCTCGTTGTGCCACTCTAGTTTAAAAAAAAAAAAGCCAGGCACGGTGGCTCACACCTGTAATCCCAGCACTTTGGGAGGCCGAGACAGGTGGATCACGAGGTCAGAAGTTCAAGACCAGCCTGGCCAAGATGGTGAAATCCCATCTCTACTAAAAAACAAAAAAAATAGCCAGTCATGGTGGTGGGCACCTGTAATCCCAGCTACTCCGGAGGCTGAGGCGGAGTAGTGAGGCTGAACCTGGAAGGTGGAGGTTGCAGGGAGCCGAGATGGCACCACTGCATTCCAGCCTGGGCAAAGAAGTGAGACTCTGTCTCAAAAAAACAAAGCAAAACCAAACAAAACCGGACACAGTGGCTCACACCTGTAATCCAAACACTTTGGGAGCCAGAAGAGGGTGGATCACCTGAGGTCAGGAGTTCAAAACCAGCCTGGCCAACATGATGAAACCCCATCTCTACTAAAAATACAAAAATTAGCTGGGCCTGGTGGCACACACCTGTAATCCCAGCTACATGGGAAGCTGAGGCAGGAGAATTGCTTGCACCTAGGAGGCAGAGGTTGCAGTAATCAGAGATTGAACCATTGTACTCCATCCTGGGTGACAAGAGCGAAGCTGTGTCTTAAGAAAGAAAGAAGGGGCCGGGCGCGGTGGCTCACGCCTGTAATCCCAGCACTTTGGGAGGCCGAGGCGGGTGAATCACGAGGTCAAGAGATCGAGACCATCCTGGTCAACATGGTGAAACCCCCGGTCTCTACTAAAAATACAAAAAATTAGCTGGGCATGGTGGCGCGTACCTGTAATCCCAGCTACTCAGGAGGCTGAGGCAGGAGAATTGCCTGAACCCAGGAGGC